TGCTATGGTTTGAAGTTTGGTGTCCCTTCCAAAATTCATGTTGAAACTCTTCCACAATGCAACAACATGAAGAGGTGGGGGCTTTAGGAGGTGATTGAGTCATAAGGGCAGAACCCTTATAAGTGGGACTAGCAACCCTATAAAGGGGCGGCAGGGAACCAGCTGATCCCCTTGGTCCTTCTGCCTCATGCAGATACCCTACTGGTGATTTCTGTGAGGAACTGGTTTCACCAAATCTCGAACTTACTGGTACCTTCACCTTGTACTTCCAACTTCAAGAACAATAGAAAATAAGTGTTTTGTTTATGAGTTACCCAGTTTCCTTTCTGATCCAACTCCTTGCTATGGCCTGGGAAAGCAATGAAAGATGGCCCAAGTCCTCGGGCCCCTGCACCCATGTGGGAGACCTGGAAGAGGCTTCAGATTGGTCCAGCTCCAGCTGTTGTGGCCATTTGGGGAGTGAACCAGCGGATGAAAGACCTTTCTCTCTGTCTCTCTGCCTCTCTGTAACTCTGCTTTTCAAATAAATGAATAAATATTAAAAAAAAAACATAGACCCATCCCAAATGCATCATGCTGAGTCAAAGAAGCCATTTTCAAAATGCTACATACCATCTGATCCCATTTATATGACATCCTTGAAAGGCGAAATGACAGGAAAACCAAAACAGAGCTGTGTTTGACAGGGGCTGAGCGTGAAGGGATGGATTAATACAGAGAGCCACAGGGGTGACTTCTATTGGATACTGGAGCTTTTCTGGTCTCAATTTTGGTGGTGGTAGCATGAGTTTGCCAAATCTCATAGAACTGATATCAACAAAGAGAAGTTTTTGCTTTGTATAAAAGCAAGGAGTGAAGCCGGCACCGCGGCTCACTAGGCTAATCCTCCGCCTTGCGGCACTGGCACACCGGGTTCTAGTCCCAGTAGGGGCGCCGGATTCTGTCCCGGTTGCCCCTCTTCCAGGCCAGCTCTCTGCCGTGGCCCAGGAGTGCAGTGGAGGATGGCCCAAGTGCTTGGGCCTTGCACCCCATGGGAGACCAGGAGAAGCACCTGGCTCCTGCCATTGGATCAGCGCAGTGCGCCGACCACAGCGCTCTGGCCACAGCGGCCATTGGAGGGTGAACCAACGGCAAAGGAAGACCTTTCTCTCTGTCTCTCTCTCTCACTGTCCACTCTGCCTGTCAAAAAAAAAAAAAAAAAAAAAAAGGCAAGGAGTAAGAACTATTTCAATAGAAAAATGTACACTACCAAAATTTTAATAATAATTTCTTAAATGGTAGGATCTTGCATGATTTCCACTTTTCTTTTTCCTCATATGTACCTTGTAGTTTGCCATAGTAGGAGAAATAATTTAAATTAAAAATAAGCAAAACTAACTGATGCCCACTGGGGATTTTGTGAAAAAGATGGACAAGTAGAATGGAAGAATAAAAAATTACGGTAGCCCAAGTACCTTTTGAAACCACATTGTTAATCTATTTTATGTCAGTCTTTTCTTTCTGTATGTCTATGTGTCTGCATATTTTCCCAAACAACTCAAATTTGTTTTTGTCCTTTTTTTAAAAAAAATTTATTTAAACACTTGAAGTGATAAGTCATTCCCAGAGGACTCAAAGCTTCGAGAGCTGCCCCAGACAGAGTAGTTCCACTCTGATGCGGAAAGGGAACATGGGAGCCTGGCAAGCGGCTTGCTCCTGTTCGCTTTGCAAGTGTGAGTGCGTGTGAGAGTCAGTGAGTGTGAGACTGTGTCAGTACCTGAGTGTGAGGACGTGTGTGGGTGTGAGAGTATGTGTGTCTCAGGGTGTGTGTGAGTGTGCATGTGACTGGGGGTGTGTGTGTATAGGTCAGGGTGGGGAGTGGAAGGGGAGGTCCTCCTTGACCAGCACTTGAAAAAAGCAGAGCCTCCGTCAACAAAAGCCGTGTGCAGTATTCATGCGGTTATTGGGGGCCTCTGCCTTGATTCTTGATCCTCTCTTTATTTAGACCTGGGAGGAAAATTCTCTGCTAGGAAAAACATCAACAAATTTTATTTTGGCCTTTGCAATGTAAACTCAGGTTGCTGAGAATCCCGTCTCATTGTTGCTGGTTTGCTCTGTGCTGGCTGGCTGGTGACTCTTATCCAAATAGGCCAACCCAGGACAGCAGAAGCACTAAAGGGATATTTAAGAACACAAAGGGCGTAGGGAATGGGCTCTTTCTTTCTTTTTTAAAGATTTATTTTATTTGAAAGGCACAGTTACAGAGAAAGCGGGAGAGAGGGAGAGAGAGCTTCCATCTACTGGTTCACTCTCCAAATGGCTGCAATGGCCAGGGCTGAGCCAGGAGCTTCTTCCGGGTCTCCCATGTGGGTGCAGGGCCCAAGCACTTGGGCCATCTGCTGCTGCTTTCCCAGGCCATTGCAGGGAGCTGGATGGGAAGTGGAGCAGTCAGGACTCGAACCAGTGCCCGTATGAGATACCAGTGCTGTAGGTGGAGGCTTAACCAGCGCTGGCCCCAGGTGAGGACTTTTTCTGATTTGACTATGCAGTCCCAGCATGCATCAGTCCAAGGCAGTGGAGCGTGCTGACACGCTCGCTCTGTTTTTGTACAGCTGTGCTTTTTGAGCTTTTGTCACCTGACCTGAGGATGCCTGTGCCTGCCTTCCTACCAGAGCAAAACCAAAACCAAACAAAACCAACGCAAGAGGCTGGCAGCACACTGGAGGAAGATTGGATCAGCATAATTTTCTGCCCAGAAGGGACTTAGCTATAGTTGAAGTAGAGAAATGGAGCCAAAAGGGCGAGACAGGCAGTGGCTCTCATGCTCAGTTGGAGGGCAGGGAGGGTGTGAGCCCAGTGAGTGCACATAGGCCCAGAATACTGGTTCCTTTTTCTCAGGCAAACATTTGGTTAAGAAACTTTAAAAAAAAATGACATTTAGCAACCTCCAGAATCATAAAATACTGAGGAATAAGTTTCACAAAAAGCCTGTAGGGTATGTAATGTGAAAACTACAAACTATGATTGAAAAAAATTGAAGTCCTAAGTAAATGGGGGAGATAAGAGTACTTCAAAATATTTGTGGAGGGGCGGTGTTGTGGTATAGCAGGTTAAGCCACTGCCTGGGGTGCCAGCATCCCATATGGGTGCTGGTTTGAGTCCTGGCTGCTCCACTTCTGATCCAGCTCCCTGCTAATGCACCTGGGAAAGCAGCAGAGATGGCCCCAGTGATTGGGCCCCTGCATCCACATGGGAGACCCAGATGGAATTCCAGGCCTTTAGTTTCTGCCTGGCCCAGTCCAGACCATTGTGGCCATCTGGGGAGTGAGCCAGCAGATGGGATCTCTCTCTCCCTGTCTCTCTCACTGTAACTCTACCTTTCAAATCACTAAATAAATATTTTTAAAATTTCATGGAAAATGGAATGTAAATATAGGTTAATTTTGCTGCAAAAACTTGGAAATTCATGGATATGAAAGGTCTTCAACAAGTTCATGGAAAATATGTACTAAAAACCATGCACGTATTTCAAATTTTTTTGCACCGAACTAAACTTATTTTTTAGAGAAATGATACTAGTGATTATTTATTTATTTATTTATTTTTTTGACAGGCAGAGTTAGACAGTGAGAGAGACAGAGAGAAAGGTCTTCCTTTTTGCTGTTGGTTCACCCCCCAAATGGCTGTTATGGCCGGCGCACTGCACCGATCCGAAGCCAGGAGCCAGGTGCTTCCTCCTGGTCTCCCATGCGGGTGCAGGGCCCAAGCACTTGGGCCATCCTCCGCTGCCTTCCCGGTCCACAGCAGAGAGCTGGACTGGAAGAGGAGCAACCGGGACAGAATCTGGCGCCCCAAACGGGACTAGAACCCAGTGTGCTGGCGCCGCAGGTGGAGGATTAGCCTAGTGTGCCGTGGCGCCAGCCTAAACTTATGTTTTTTAAAGGTTTATCTACAAATGTATTGCCATTGTAGTTTTCAGAGTTACATTAAATGTTACTGAAATTAAACACCTTGTATAAATATAGTTGATAGAGGTCAGATACATGATGATTAACTCTAAGCAGAAAGAGTGAAGAAGTCTGGTATGTCAAAAAGAAAAGCATTCCTCATTTCCTATTTTGCATTCCTCTCGTCACAAAGGAAAGGAACCAGGGTATGTATTTTTATCAATATGAAAGGGAAAACATTTCCTGGGGACTGGCTACTTTCCAGCACTGTGTGTGTAACAGACTGGAGGGTGTGCATAGTTGACACATTGGCATCCAGAAGCTACTGAGAGCATCCTAGTGGGCACCACCATCTCACAGCCAGCCAGGTGCTCACTGCTGGTGTGAGACTTGACTGTGCATCCTCACCTGCCATGAGCCCCTGGCAGCCCTCCCACGTGCAGCGTTAAGGATAAAACTCGCCGGTGCCGCTGCTCGCTAGGCTAATCCTCCGCCTTGTGGCGCCGACACACCGGGTTCCAGTCCCGGTCAGGGCGCCAGATTCTGTCCCAGTTGCCCCTCTTCCAGGCCAGCTCTCTGCTGTGGCCAGGGAGTGCAGTGGAGGATGGCCCAAGTGCTTGGGCCCTGCACCCCATGGAAGACCAGGAGAAGCACCTGGCTCCTGCCGTCGGATCAGCGCGGTGCGCCAGCCGCAGCGCGCCGGCCGCGGTGGACATTGGAGGGTGAACCAACGGCAAAGGAAGACCTTTCTCTCTGTCTCTCTCTCTCACTGTCCACTCTGCCTGTCAAAAAAAAAAAAAAAAAAAAGGATAAAACTCTCTCTTCAGGGAAAACAAGACTCCACAAGGAACAGTAAGTTTTGAAACAACCAGATCATCAGAAGAGAAGCTACTTCCCTGTCCCTGGGCCTGTTCACAAAGGAGGGCACCTGTGTGGCCCTCGTGTGGAGTGGCTGGGCATCCCGGAGGTCACAGCTAAGGACACCAAAGGCCAGTCTTAGGCTCATCCAAAGCAGTGACCGGTGCTCTGCCCTGGTGGTCCCTGAATGGAGATCAGTGGGTTTCTTCTCGAAATTTATTTTTTTGCCTCTTACTTGCCATGTCTCACATCTGTGAATCCCCTTTCTCCAGGGGTTCTTGTGCCATCAGTTGCCTCCTCATTCTGTATTCTAAACAATCTTTCTGTTCATTTCTGCACACAGCATTTTCAAAATTATTATTCCACGGTGATACGTCTCGAGTTTCTCTTCAAAGCTTGGACTTTTATGGCAGGTGATCCAGCAGGACACTGCCCTTGTCCAGGGGCTGCAGCTGGAAGCTCCTGATCCTGAAGTTGATGGTGGTCACATGAGGATGGTTCCAGGGCCATCTTCTTCTTCTTCTTTCTTCTTCTCTATTTCTGAATTTATTTGAAAGGCAAAGAGACAGATATCGTCAATCTGCTGGTTCAGTCTCCAAATGGCAGCAACAACTGGGGCTGGGCTAGGCCAAACCAGGAGCCAGGAGCTCCATTTGGGTCTTCTCTGTGGGTGGCAGGGACCCAAGTACTAGAACCATTATCTGCTGCCTCCCAGAGCACATTGGCAGGAAGCTGGATCAGATGTGGAAGAGCTGGGACCCAAACCAGCACTCTGATGTGGGATGTGGGCACCCTGCTATGCCAGAATGCCTTCCCCTAAACTTTTCTTTCAGTTCTATTTTTTTCCATGAAACTTTCAAGGACCCTTGTACATGTACATGTATCAGAAGTCCAATATAGTTCAGGGATCAATTCTCTCCAAATTGATCTACAAAGTCAACATAAGCCCAATCAGTTTCCAACAGAATTTTGTTTTTCTTTCTGTGTTTTGGTAAAAATGGACACATTTTGACACATTTTGGTTAAAAAATGTGTATGGTCAGGCACAGGCCCTTGAACAACCAAAACAAACTTGATGAGAATGCATTTTTTAATTATTAGTTTTTATAGAAAGCTTTTATTTAATATAAATTTAATCAGTACAACTTTTAGATTATAGCAGTTCTTCCCCCCATACCTGTCTTCCCACCCCCAGACCATCCCACCTCCTACTCCTTCTCCCATCCCATTTTCATTGATTCATTTTTAATTATCTATATATACAGAAGATGAACTCTATGCTAAGTAAAGATTTCAACAGTTTATACTTACACAGACACACAAAGTATAAAGTACTGTTTGAAGACTAGTTTTACCATTAATTCTTATAGTACAACACAGGAAGGACAGAGGTCCTACATGGGGAGCAAGTGCACAGTGATTCCTGTTGTTGATTTAACAACTGACACTCTTATTTATGATGTCAGTGATCACCCAAGGCTCTTGTCATGAGCCTCCAAGGCTATGGAAGCCTCTTGAGTTTACAAATTCTGACATTATTTAGACAACATCATAAAGTGGAAATTCTCTCCTCCCTTCAGAGAAAGGTATCTCCTTCTTTGATGGCTTCTTTCCACTGGGATCTCACTCATTTAGGTCATTTTTTTGCCACAGTGTCTTGGCTTTCCATGCCTGAAATGCTCTCATGGGCTTTTTAGCCAGATCTGAATGCCTTAAGGGCTGATTCTGAAGCCAGAGTACTGTTTATGGCATTTGTCATTCTATGAGTCTGCCTGTGTGTCCTGCTTCCCATGTTGGATCGTTCTCTCCTTTATAATTCTATCAGTTATTATTAGCAGACACTGGTCTTATTTATGTGATCCCTTTGACACTTAATATCTTTATTAAGTTCCTAACTTAAGTTGATCACTTTAACTAGTAAGATGGCATTGGTACCTGCCAACTTAATGAAATTTGGAGTCCCATGGCAAGTTTAGCTTTACTCTTAAAGGGTAAGTCTGAAACAACGTGTGCTGAACTGTACATCTCCTCCCTCTCTTATTCCCACTCTTATTTTTAACAGGGATCAATTTTCAATTGGATTTAAACACAAAAGAATAATTCTGTGTTAAGTAAAGAGTTCAACCAATGGTTTTAAGTAGAAAAAAAATACTAAAAAGAATAAAATAGTAAGCTGTTCCTCGACAGCCGAGACAAGGGCTGATCAAGTCATTGCTTCTCGTAGTGTCAGTTTCACTTCTACAGGTTTCCTTTTAGGTGCTCAGTTAGTTGTGGAGAACACATTTTTAATACTTAAATATCAATGATTAAACTGCTGGTATTCAGTTTAGTGATTAAAGCTCATTTTGGGAAAAAGGTAAAATATTGATGTTCCTAGGGTTAGGGTGTTTTCTCTCTTTGTCTATTTCACTGGTGGTTACTTCTAAAATCACATTTATATCTGTGTTTGGTTCTTGGTTGGCCTCCTTCCATTCCTAACTCAAAAGTTAGGAAGCATAGTGGTGGCAGCCGGGTAGCCCACAAAACAGATTCTTTCTCTGCATGCTTCTGTTAGTTTCCAAGTGTATAGGCAAAAAGCTCCAGCATACACAACTCTCTAAATTTACTAACAAAATCTCTGTGTAAATCTTAAAAGGTGGTTTATATTTATAACTGCTTCCTAACATTCGCTCACTCTGGTCCTCTCTTTACACAGGCTAACCATAGGGTTTAGAAAACTGGGGTTGTTTAGAGAAAGCCGGAGAATATTGGATTAAAGCCAGGATGTGTTAAACTTCTAAATGTAAATATCTACTAACATCCCATGGTGAGTGGGAGTGCAGCTAGCATTTATATTTACCATTGGTTTTCATAAGTTCACATTAGCTGGCCTGTGGAGTTCATCTGGATAGAGAATTTGAATGGGCTCCTTTACTATGTATGGTCTGTGACTGGAAGTGAATGGTGATGACAGTTGCTAGAATAACAAAATTGAGGAGAGGAAAAAGGATAGCCCAGCTCTCATCCTGAACTCAATTGTAGCTAATTGGAGGACCAGTCTCCATATCCAGGCAGCTTGTTCTGGGCTCAAATGGCAGACAGATGCTCTGAGGCCCAGGAGTTCAGGTATCTTGTAATTGTCGATCCAGCCAAGGACAAATTTGATTTGTAGCCCACATTTTGACCTCCCCGTAGTGCAAAGTGCTGCGAGTTGTTCCCACTTTGCCCCTGACTTTCCGATTGTTTCCATTCAGTCCCCGGCTCCCAGCTGCCTGTCTATTTCCAAAATCACCCCTGTATGTTACTAACAGTCCTCCGGAGTTTGAATTCCAGAAAGACAGAGAGGGGTGGACAGACTCATAATAAAAGTTCCTGTGAAGCTGGCCTGTGGGCTCTTTGGGAGCAGAAAACAAAGAGGCTTCACTTGGGAGAAGTGTTGTTCTGGGAAGCCCAGGCTGGCCTATCCAGGGCAAGTTTTTCTAAGTGTGGAGTAAAGTTCAAATGATCAGGGGAGACAAGTGTGAAGGGAGACAGGGCCATGGGAGCAGGACACCACCTACTCTCCATATACAGGGAGGTGGTGTTTGGTTAGGATTGAGAAGATTCAAATGGGTTGTGCTTCAAAAGTTCCCAGTAACCAGATGTTACAATTACCTTTTAGTTAATAAGAATGCCCCCCAAAAATGCTATTGGAATATATGTCCTTGTTTATTTATCTAAAAAAATGTCTTTTATGGGTAGCTTTTAAACCTAGGTTTTTTTTTTTTTTAAAGAAATATTTGTGGAACTATGAGATAATATACATCTTTTATTATTTTTTTAAAGATTTTATTTATTTCCGGGGTAGAGTTACAGACAATGAGAGGGAGAGACAGGGAGAGAGGTCTTCCATCAGCTGCTCTACTCCTTAGGTGGCTGCAACAGCTGGAGCTGCGCTGATCCGAAGCCAGGAGCCAGGAGCTTCTTCTGGGTCTGTCATGTGGGTGCAGGGGCCCAAGGACTTGGGCCATCTTCTACTGCTTTCCCAGGCCATAGCAGAGATCTGGACCAGAAATGGAGCAGCTGGGATACAAACCAGCGCCCATATGGGATGCCGGCACTGCAGGCAATGGTTTTATCCGCTACACCAAAGTACTGGCCCCACTTCATTAATATTTTATATTGATTATGTTAAAGTGATAATGTTTTAAATACAATAAGCTAAGTAAAATATGTTTAAATTAATTATACCCCTACCTTTTCCTTTTTTTGAAAGTACTAGATCTTTTTTTTTAAATATTTATTTGAAAGGCAAACTGACAGATGATGCAGAGAGAGAAATCTTCTATCTGCTGTTTTACTGCCCAAATGTCCACGGCAGGGGCCAATGCTGTGGTGGAGGAGGTTAGTCCTCCTGCCTGTGGCAGTGGCATCCCATATGGGCACTGGTTCTAGTCCTGTCTGCTCCTCTTCTGATCCAGCTCTCTGCTGTGGACTGGGAAAGCAATGGAAGATGGCCCAAGTCTTTGGGACCCTGCACCTGCGTGGGAGACCCTAAGGAAGCTCCTGGCTGCTGGTTTTGGATCAGCCCAGGTCTGGCCATTTCAGCCATCTGGGGAGTGAACGAGTGGATGAAAGATCTCTCTCTGTCTCACCCTCTCTCTGTAACTCTACCTCTCAAATAAATAAATAAAATCTTAAAAAAAAATCAAATGTCCACAGCAGTTAGGGCTGGTCCAGACCAGAGCTATGAGCCAGGAACTCCATCTTGGTCTCCTACTTGGAAGGCAGGATTATTTTCCTTTTTTTTTTTAAAGATTTTTTTATTTTATTTGAAAGGCAGAGTTAGAGAAAGGGAGAGTGGGAGACACAGGGAGAGAGATCTTCCATCCCCAAATGGCTGCAAATGGTCAGAGCTGGGCCAGTCCTAAGCCAGGAGTCAGGAGCTTCTCCTGGTCTCCCATGCAGATGCAGGTGCCTAAGCACTTGGGCCATCCTCCACTGCTCTCCCAGGCACATTAACATGGAGCTAGACGGGGAGTGGAAAAGCCGGGACTTGAACCGGCGCCCATATGGGATGCTGGTGCTGCAGGCAGGCTTTACCTGCTACACCACAGCGCTGGCCCCAGGTCCCTTTACTTTTTAAAGGTTTGTTTTATTTCTTTTTTTTTTTTAAGATTTATTTATTTATTCGAAAGAGTTACACAGAGAAAGAGAGGCAGAGAGAGAGTGGTCTTCCATCCACTGGTTCACTCCTAATTTCCTGCATTAGCCAGAGCTGGGCCGATCCGAAGCCAGGAGCCGGGAGATTCTTCCAGGTCTCCCACGTGGGTGCAGGGACCCAAGGGCTTGGTCCATCTTTTACTGCTTTCCCAGGCCATAGCAGAGAGCTGGATTGGAAGTGGAGCAGCTGGGTCTCGAACCAGCGCCCATATTGGGTGTCGGCACTGCAGGTGGCAGCTTTACCCGCTAAGCCACAGTACCGGCCCTGGGGTTTGTTTTATTTCTTTGAAAGGCAGAGTTAGAGAAAGAGAGGGTCGGAGTCCTATCTGTTGATTCACTCCCCAAATGTGCAGTGGTTGTATCTGGGCCAGGTTAAAGCCAGATGCCTAGAACTGCATCTGTGTCTCCTACGTGGATGGCAGGGGCCTAAGCATTTGGGCCATTTTCATTGCTTTCCCAGTTGCATTGGCAGGCAGCTGGATTAGAAGTGGAACAGCTGGGACTCAAACTGGTGCTCAGATGTGGGTGCCAGTGCTGTAGGAGGTGGCTTCACCTGCTGCACCACAATGCCAGTTCCCATTTGACTTTTATAAATGCAACTACTACAATTTCAAAATTACATCCGTGCCTCACATTATATTTCTATGGACAGAACTGTAGATTCTTAATGTAAGAAGTATGTACAAAGAAAGCTGATCAAAAGGCAAGGTGAATTTACAGATACTCACTAATTCAAGAAGTTTTTCTCATTTAAACAATTAAATGTTTACTCAAAACTAATTATGTGACAAAGACTTTGCTAACTGTGAAGGAGCTGACAATCTCAGTGGGGAGAAAAACATGATGAGAGGGATTCACATATTATTATGTTTTTTATTTTAGATTGGAAATGAAGGGTCAGCCTTACATCCACAGTTGGAATCCATTGCAAATCAGAACACGGGAAATGCTATGAAAAAAGACAAGGAGTATGGGACCTTAGAATTTGGAGTGAGAACAAATCTTAGCGATCATAGCTT